CCATGACCTGGACGGGGTGGGGATGGGGTTGGGCCCCAAAGTGAGCCCCTCTCCTGGCTGTGGGTTCGGGGGCGGAGCAAGAGCTCCAGGAGGGGGAACTCAGAGCCGGGGGGAGGTCAGTGAAGGGACAGGGGCTCGGGCCTGGGCCTATGGGCAGACTGAGGAGGGGGACCCTCGGCATCGCGGCGGGGCGGCCAGGGCCCTGTGTGTCTTGGCGAAGCGGGACCCCTGGCCCGCCAGGTATGTAACAATTCCAGCCATTTCCTGCCCTATTAATGAGAAAGGGGCTGATATAAATACACGCTCAGCATAAATAAATACAGGCCAGGCCCAGGACTGCATAGCAGACAGATTGCGTGGAGCTGCTGGCCAGCCCTGCAGCCAGCTCCCCCCACCCTGCCTGTGCCCCACTGGCCCCACTTGTTTTCTTCCAGCAGGCCAGGGCCCCTCCACACTCACAGGCCTGAGACAGTGGACCGACCACCCTCCCCCTGGCCTCAGAACCAGGTCCCTGTGGCCCCTGGGAAGGGGGTCGGCTGGAGGCGGCATCGAGGGAGCCAGGGTCCTGGAACCCTCCTGCCCCCCAGTGGGGATCGCACGTGCAGAGACCGGGCAACAGCCTCGTTCACAGACGGGGAAACGGAGGCTCCCAGGGTGAGGTACCTTGCACAAGGTTGCACACAGCTGAGAGAGTGGAGATCCAGAATCCAAACGCAAGACTTTCAGACCCCCAGGCTCTGTCCACTGCTGTGAGGGCAGCAGAGGGCAGAGTCTGGCCCTTCTCCCTCCCTCCCAAGCTCTGGCCCCGGGGATGCCAGGTCCTTGGAAAGCCCGGAGGACTTCTTTTCAAGGTCCGGAAGCCTAGGCAACAATACCCCAGGGACAGGGGAGTCAGGAGCCAGACCTCAGCCAGTGTAGAGCCCTGCTGTCAGGCTGTGTAGACAGGAGGCTGTGTAGACAAGGGGTCTGCTCTTCTCCAGATTGGCCCCCTTCCCACCCGGACATTCAGAAACGAGGCCCCCAAATGCTGACTCTCTCATCGGGGTGACTTCACCCCCCCACACATTGCACAGACAGGGAAACCAAGGCTCAGAGCGAACAGAGCCTCATCCGAGGGCACACCCTGTGACCTAGGCAGGGGCGAAGCCTTGAACTCCAACCTGTCCTCAGCCCAGGCCTTCTCCTCAGGACTCAGGTTGAGAAGGTCATTTCCTCCCACAAGGCTCCCCTGGCTCAGGGGTGGTCCCAGCTCCCCAGCCTGGGCACTTCCCGGTGTAGGACTCCAGGTATAGGCCGGTGTCCCAAAATCCAGCCTGGGACCCTGCCCAGGGCACAGATCGGCAACAAGGGCTAAGAACCCCAGGTCCAGAGAGGCTAGGAACCTGACACAAGGGTCAGGACATTCCTCTCTTCCAGGACCCATTCAAATGACCCGGCCTTCAAGGAGCCAGCCCAGCTGTGGCCACTCCAACGAACAGCCCTTAGGCAACTGTGGAAGCAAGATTGTACTCTGTCTTCAAGCCACTGAAGGCTTCTCTCATCAGGGTGTCTTGTGAGTGGACACATAGCCCAAAGCACAGCCATACTGGCCATCCCCCGCCCCCCAGAGCCCATTGTTTAAAATACGAGCAAGTTCCAGATGTGGTGGCTTACGCCTGTAATCCCAGCACTTTGGGAGGCAGAGACGAGAGAATTGCCTGAGCCCACGGGTTTGAGAGCCACCCGGACAACTAGGCAAGACCTTGTCTCTACAATAAATCCAAAAATTAGCCGAATGAGGTGGTGCACACCTGTAGTTCCAGCTATTTGGAAGGCTGAGGCAGAAGGATCACCTTAGCCCAGCAAATCGAGGCTGCGGTGACTGTGAGCATGCAAGAGCACTCCACCCTGGGTGACAGAGTGAAAGTATAATTCAGAAAAAAAAGAAAGCCGGGCTCGGTGGCTCAGCCTGTAATCCCACGCCTTTGGGAGGCTGAGGGGAGTGGATTGCCTGAGCCCGCGGGTTCAAGACCCGCCTGGGCAGCGAGACCTCATCTCTACAATAAATAAAAAAAAATCAGCCGGGCGTGCTAGCACATGCCTACTCGGAAGGCTACTCGGCTACTCGGAAGGCTGAGGCGGAAGGATCGCCGGCGCCCAGCAGGTCGAGGCTGCGGTGGCTGGGAGCAGCCACTGCACTCCAGTCTGGGCGACAGAGTGAGACTCCAACTCAAAAAAAAAAAAAGAAGCCAGGTAGGCAGGTGGTCACTCTCAGGGCAGCAGCCTCCAAGTCCCAGCTGGGCTGCTGGCTCCACCCCCACCACGCAGGGTAGACTTTTTCTCTCTGGCAGGAGGGGCCAGTAACCTCTTTGTCCCCCAGTCCCTGCCCAACCTGGAGCCCCTCACAGTCCTGGTCCCCTCTACCCAGGCTTACTCTCCCCATGCGAAGTCTCAGCCCCAGACCCCAGGGGACATGGCAGGAGGGGTGGGAACACAGCATGCACAAGGTCAGAGAGGAGCTCCCCAGGGCAGGCCTCACCTCCCAATCTGTACCCCTAGGCCCCCTCCTCAGACAGCTCCTTTGAGGTCCTTCCTTCCCGTGTTTCTGGGCTACATTATGGGAAACAGCAGGAACCAGGAGCCACCCCCAGCAGCCTCCATGCAGCCTTCAGGAAGGAGAGGGCGATGTGTGTGGATTCACTTGGACATGGGTGGGTACCATATTGTCAAATAAGCAACTGGCCTAAGACTCGGGTGAGCGTTTCACCAGCACAATCCATAGCTATCTTATGTGCGCATAATATGTGTTTGCATATATGCAAAGAATCATGCTGTGAAGATACACAGCACACGCTTGACGCTGTTTCAAAATGCAGAACCAAGGCCAGGTGAGGTGGCTCACGCCTGTAATCCCAGCACTTTGGGAGGCCGAGGTGACAGGACTGTCTGAGTCCACAGGTTCGAGATCAGCCTGCAACTCTACAATAAATCAAAAAATTAGCCGGGCGTGGTGACACATGCCTGTAGTTCCGGCTACTTGGAAGGCTGTAGTGGAAGGATCGCCTGAGCCCAGCAGGTCAAGGCTGCGGTGGTGGTGAGCGTGCCATTGCACTCCAGCCTGGGTGACAGAGTGAGACTCCAACTCAAAAACAAGACAATACAAAACAAACGAAATTTAGAACCAGAAAAGGGGGGGGGCTTTTTTTTTGAGTCAGGGTCTCATTCTGTCATCCAGACTGGAATACAGTGGCACGATCCCTCTCACCACAGCCTCAACCTCCTGGCAATCCTCCTACCTCAGTCTCCAAAGTAGTTGGGACTACAAGCATGCACCGCCACGCCTAGCTAATTTTTTAACTTTCTGTAGAGACAAGGTCTCATTATGTTGCCCAGGTTGGTCTCAAACTCCTGGACTCAAGCAATCCTCCCGCCTCAACCTCCCAAAGTGCTGGGATTATAGACATGGGTCATGTGCCCAGCCCAGGGAGGACATTTCTGCCTCAACATCTCTGTGTTCGGGGTCTTTTTTCTTAAGTTGGTAGAAGGGCTTGCAGACACAGCCTCGCCTCCAGCCCAGGCCCAGCTGCCCCAGGGCTCGGTCCTCTCTCCCCCGGCTCCACTTGGTCTTTGAGCATCCCTCCACCTCCGCCTTCCCTCCCCACCCCCTGCCATCCCAAGCCCCCAAACCCCGTCCCTGGCCAGCCTCACCTCGGCCCCATCAGCTCATGCCTGCTCCGGCCGCCTCTTCACTCCTCAGCGCCCACCTCAGCAGGGAGCCAACTTCTCACGCTCCCGCACTCTGGTTCCCCTGCGAGCTGTGTGTCTTCTACGAGTCCAGTGGCGTCGACCCTCTGACCAGGCACTCGCGTGTCCCTGCCCGGTAAGCGTGCTGCCCCATGGGCCAGATGGAGCCCCTCAGACGTCTCTCCTAGGGCAGGCCAGCGTTGCTCCTCGGACTCGGGAGGACCTGGAAGTTCATCCACATCCACCCTGGGCCACAAGGGAGGGCCTCGCAGTCCTGGGAGCCCTCGTGGAGAAGGGGACCCTCTGGCTTGGGAGCCAGTGAGGGTGATGGCTAACCCTCGAGAGACCATCCCTTCCCCTCCTCTTCGCAGAATCGTGCACCTGAGGGCCGGGGGATCTGACCCGATCGGCCACCCCTCAGCAGACCCCTGCATCCTTACTCACCAGGTAGAGAGCGGTGAGTGGAAAAGATTCCCCTCTCCCCAGGGAAGCAGGTGGTCCTTTGGCAGAGGCTGGGTGGGTGAATGGGTGGGTGGGTGGCTGGGTGGGTGGGTGGAAGGATGGGTGAATGGGTGGGTGGGTGGCTGGGTGGGTGGGTGGAAGGATGGGTGAATGGGTGGGTGGGTGGGTGGGTGGATGGGTGTCTGCGTGGCTGCGTGGACACATGGATACACGGGTGGCTGGACAGTTCTGCGGATGGATTTGTGAGGGGAGTGGACAGGGGACCGGACGAGTGGCCCAGTGTGTGAACGAGTGAATGACAGGCTGTAACTACTTCTCAAAGGAATTTTCTAAATCCCTGAAATGTGAGGCTCTGGCCCCCCCCAGAGGCCGCAGTGCCTAACTGCCTGTCTCCCCCGCAGTCCCGGGCGCCCATAGTTCTAAGAACCAGGGGCAGGAACCCAGAGAAAGGAAAGGGTTCTGGGAAACAAAACATCCAGAGACCATCGCTGACTCTACCGTTGCCAGACTCCGTGGCCTTGGGAAATTCTTCTGAAGCGCAATGTGCTCGTCTGGAAATGGCACTGATCAAACCCGAGGCCTGTGTTGCTGGGAGAGTTACACCAAATCATGTGTCAAGTATCTGAGACGGTTGGGATCCGGCACATGAAAGGTGCCCGCAGGGTGGGCGTGATTCCCTGCCCAGAGGCAGCCCCGGGCACACGCGCGTACATGCGAGCACACACAGGCACTCACACAACTTTCTTTCAGCCTAGTAGGGAAGAGGGAGTGAGACCCTAGGCCAGACCAGGAGAGGGAGACAGATGGGGACGCATTTATTCTCCAGGGGTCCCTTGCTCTGGCAGGACCGGCCCAGCCTCAGGGGTCAAGGGCCCAGGGAGTAGGGTCTCTGGTGAGGGACCTGAGGCCTCCTGGAGTTCAGCCTCCTCGGTCTGGGCCAGCTGGGCCGTGTGCTCAAAGGCAGCCTGCAGCAGGTGGAAGGCCAGGCAGGTGGTCCAGGTGACGAGGTAGACCAGATGCCAGGAGGTGAGCGCGGCTGTGCTCTCCACCCACCAGGACAGCCGTCTCAGTGGCGCCAGAAGCTCCCGCACCACGTGGCTATCCTGCAGGGCCCGGGGCAGGGAAGTGGGTGAGCAGGAGGCCCCAGGAGCTCACAGGGCTGCAGCCCCTGGCTCTGGTCCCCAGCCCAGCCCCAGCCCTGCCCGGCACCCCAGGCCTGTCCCCGGCAGTGGCCCAGCCTATCCACCTTGCCAGGCAGCCAGGCCAGGATGACGAGACGGGCCTTCTGACACAGCTTCCAGGTTAGCAGAAGCACCAGCAAGGCTACCAGCAGCGAGCTGTGCAGCCCCCACAGCAGCAAGTCCTTCCAGAGGGCCACGCAGAAGCCCAGCCGCTCCCAGACACCCAGCAGGGCCAAGCCCAAGGCCCGGGCGCCGCCCTGCACACCCGCCCACGCCAGCCTGGGGCCCCACAGGGCCAGCCACACCAGAACATGTACCAGGGCCAGCCCGGCCCGGAGAGTCTGGCCCAGGGGGCAGGCCTCGACTCCCGGGGGTGGGTGGGCCTGCTGGCTGCAGGACGCCCCCCCAGCCTCCTGGGCCAGCCCCGACACCCAGTGGTTGAAGTAGAGAATCTTGAGAAGCAGGAAATTGTAGAGGTGGACGCGGTTCTGGACCAGCTGCAGGAGGAGGGAGAGTCCGTCATCGCCATGTCACCCACCGGGGCAGGAGCCCATCATGGCTGCAGAGGCGAGGCTGCTGGGTGGCCTCAGCCCGGGCCCTCCCCCGCCCAAAGCCTCAGTCCCCTCCCCTCCCCACAAGGATGGCTTTTGACCAATTTGAGGACTGAGCGGGGTGCTTTAGAACGTGTTTCCTGTTCCATGTGGGTTCTTCTCCATTGGATTTACATGACCATTTACAATACTCCAGACTGAAGGAGGTCGCATTATTATTATATAAAAATCCAGGCCAGGTGCTGTGGCTCATGCCTATAATCCCAGCACTTTGGGAGGCTGAGGTGAGTGGATTGCCTGAGCCTGCGGGTTCGAGACCCACCTGGGCAACTTGGTGAGACCTCATCTCTACAATAAATCAAAAAATTAGCCAGGTGTGGTAACACATGCCTGTAGTTCCAGCTACTTGGAAGGCTGAGGCAGAAGGATCGCTGGAACCCAGCAGATCGAAGCTGCGATGGCCATGAGCACGCCACTGCGCTCCAGCCTGGGCAACAGAGTGAGACTCCAACTCAAAAATAAATAAATAAATTTTGGCCAGGCTCAGTGGCTCAGCCTATCATCCCAGCACTTTGGAAGGCTGTGGTGAGTGAATTGCCTGAGCCAGCAGGTTCGAGATCTGTCCAGGCAACTTGACGAGAGACCTCCTCTCTATAATAAATCCAAAAAATGAGCCGGGCCTGGTAGCACAAGCCTGTAGTTCCAGCTGAGGTGGAAAGATGGCCTGAGTCCAGCAGATTGACTGCACCCCAACAGATTGATTGTCACCCTGGGTGACAGAGTGAGACTCCAACTCAAAAAAAAAAATCCCCCAGGATTTGAACCCAGGTCGCTTGTCTTCTCCCAGGCTCCTGGGCTTGTCTATGTCCCAGTTACCCCTGGCATCTTGAGGGTGGCTGAGGGCAAAGGCAGTCCATTAGCGGTAGAGAGCTGTGAGACACATGGGGGGGCAGAATGAATGACGGACCTACCGAGGGGGTGAAGAGGAGGGTGGGACCCAAGATGTCCAGATTTCTGATGTGACAAGTTGGACAAGGATGTCTCACATTCACTGAGCGGGGTGGAAGGGAGGAGCTGTGCTGGAGTCCTGGGACTAAAAGACCCTTCACAGCCGGGCTCAGTGGTTCAACCTGTCATCCCAGCATTGAGAGAGGCCATGGCAAGTGGACTGCCTGAGCTCACGGGTTCGAGACCAGCCCGGGCAACTTGGCAAGACCTCATCTCTACAATAAAATAAAAATTAGCCGGGCATGGTGGCACGTGGCTGTAGTTCCGGCTACTTGGAAGGCTGAGGCAGAAGGATCACCTGAGCCCAGCAGGTCGAGGCTGAGGTGACCATGAGCGTGCCACTGCAATCCAGCCTGGGTGACAGAGACTCCAACTCAAAAGAAAAAAAGATCCTTCACCAGAGCCCCAAAGCTCCCAGCTTCGAATGACACCTGTCCACCCATCTGGACCCCTCACGTTCATGCCCACAGGACCAGTAGAGCTTGGGTCCTGGAGCGTCTGAGGCACCAGGTGGGAGGCAACTGCCTGAGGCTGGCTGCATGCCCCACTCACAGGCTTAATGAGCAGAGCCGAAGGGTGAAGCTAGCTGGGAGAGGAAGAAGACCAAGGGTCCCAGAAGAAGAATGAAGGTGGAGGTGGGAATTAGGGCCCTCCACACTATGATGACATGACCAGAGAAACCTATTCTATCCCACTAATCCGCCAAGATCAGTTTTATAGAGGAGGAAACACGCTCAGAGAGGTAAAGTAATTTGCCTAAAGTCACACCGCTAAAGAGAGGAACAGCCCAGACTCAAATCTAATGGTGTCTGTCTCTCTACTATGCCCTGTTCTCTCCCCTTCGTAAGCCACAGCAGAAGACCCTGGAAGACAGTCTGAAACTCGGCTAGCTCCCTGAGCGGTTGTGATTTGGAAGTGTGGCCCCAACTGCAAATGTTGACATGATTAAAGAAGATGAGACTCAAGCCTGTAACCAGCCTGGGCAACGAGGTGAGACCTCGTCTTTACAATAAATCAAAAAATTAGCCAGGCGTGGTGGCGTACACCTGTAGTTCCAGCTACTCGGAAGGCTGAGGCAGAAGGATCGCCGGAGCCCAGCAGGTCGAGGCTGCAGTGACCGGGAGTGGCCACTGCACTCCAGTCTGGGCGACAGAGTGAGACTCCAACTCAAGAAAAAAGAAAAAGAAAAGAAAAAGAAGAAAATGGATGGGTGGGAAGGGCAATGCTTAACCCAGAGCGGTGACCCTCTATAGAGAAAATTCCAGCGTTACGGTTTAAGAGCTGTCAGATTATGCCCAAAGCCAGAGAGTCACCTAGTTCTACTGGGTGGGACAGTCACGGTTGAGTCCAGCAGGTCTGAGGTGGCTGTGAAGGGCCAGGTGTGTGACCCCACCCCACTGCCCCCACAGTTCCCACTCACCAGCCCTGAGAGCCTTGTAACCTGCGACAGAATCCCCAAGAGGCCATATCTGCCAGAAGGGAGGGCCTCCATGTCTGGCCTCCCTAGCTTCCTCCAGCTGAGAGAAGCAGGGTGACCTCACAGATGCCGCAGGCTGGGGGCCAGTTACCATGGAAACCCAGCTGTCGCAAGAGACACCCCCCCTTACCTGAGACTTCAACTCAAGTCTGGCCCCACAGAGTTAGGGGGGTCTTGGGGCAAAGTTTCCTTCAGGTGACATTCCCTAGGAGACCCCGGAATAAGAATTCAAGTGCAAGCAGTTCGTTTGGGGGATGATCCCTGCAAGCATCCACAGGGAAATAAGAAAGTGAGGCAGAGCCCGGGAGTGGTGGCTCACGCCTGTAATTCCAGCACTTTGGGAGGCTGGGGCGGGAGGATTGCTTGAGCCTGGGAGTTCAAGACCGCGACTCTATAATAAATCAAAAAAATCAGTCAGGCATGGTGGTCCGTGTCTGTAGTCCCAGCTACTTGAGAGGCTGAGGTGGATCACCTGAGCCCAGGAGGTCAAGGCGCGGTGAGCCGTGGTGATGCCACTGCTCTCCAGCCTGGGGAACAAAGCGAGACCCTGACTCAAAAAGCTAAACAAAATAATAATAATAATAATAATACCGCATCTTTAAAATAAAAATAATTTAAAACAATAATAAAGAGCCAGGCTCGGTGGCTCAGCCTGTAATCCCACGCCTTTGGGAGGCTGAGGTGAGTGGATTGCCTGAACCCGCGGGTTCGAGACCTGCCTGGGCAACTTTTATTGTAGAGACCTCATCTCTACAATAAATCAAAAAGTTACCCTGGCCTGGTAGCGCGTGCCTCTGGGCCACAGAGTGAGACTCCAACTCAAATAATAGTAATAATCATAATAATAAATTAAAAATCAGTGAATAATGTCCCCACCTGCCAGGTTCACCTGTGCACAGCAAGACTTGTTGCAAAAGGAGCCCCCAGTTTAGATCCTTCAGCTGGGAGCCCCCTACCCTCTGTGCAAGACCTCCCTCCCGCCCTATACTCTTTCTCCTCGGCACCAGGGTCAAGGCCACCTGTGCGCTACTGCGCAGGTGACTTTGGAGTTTCGCCTTGCAAGGTGACCCAGGAGGACTGAGTGGGATAACGCAGTTCTCAGTGGCAGCCATTCCCCCGTCCCTGTCCCGCTCCATGGGGACCTTATCCCCAGCCCGGGGCTGAGGGAGCGGGGAGGGGGGGAAGCCCACTGACGCGCAGGTGCGCCCCCCCCACGGGTGCAGGACGGAGGCGCGGCCGCGCGGGGGCAGCAGACACCGGGGGCGCGGGACCTGCCCGGGCGCCCAGCACGAGTGGATGGACAGTTTGCAGTGGCTGGTCGGGCCAGGCCGGTTTCTCTGCGACAACAAGGTCGCGTCACCCCGAGGAGCTCGCCCTGGGCAGGTCCGGTCGTGCCTGGGTCGCTGGAGGCGAAACCACCGAGAAACCAGCCGCACCGTATTCTCCCCTCTTTGTTTCATGATCCAATGTTCAAACTTCATCTTATGGCCAAATTTCGCTTTTTTTTTTTCCAGAAGGATAAATATGTCTTCATACATAATGGAACTTTTTTCCTTTTTTTTTTTTTAGTTGGAGTCTCACTCCGTCGCCCAGGCTGGAGTGCAGTGGCATGCTCATGGCCACCCCAGCAATGATCTGCTGGGCTCCAGGGATCCTTCGGCCTCAGCCTTCCAAGCAGACAACAGGCGTGTGCCACCACACCCGGTTAATTTATTATTTATTGTAGAAATGAGGTCTTGCCAAGTTGTCCAGGCTGGTCTTGAACCTTGGGCTCAGGCAGTCCTCGCACCTTGGCCTCCCAAAGCGCTGGGATTATAGGCGTGAGCCACCGCTGCCCGGCCCAAGTGCTGGGTTTCTTAAACTTGCTTACTATTTGAGTTTTGCAACAGTTTCTCTTACCTTACATTCCTGCCTTTTTTTTTTTTTTTTTTGAGTTGAAGTCTCACTCTGTCACCGAGACTGGAGTGCAATGGCTGCTTCCGGCCACCGCAGCCTCGACCTGCTGGGCTCCGGCGATCCTTCAGCCTCAGGCTTCCAAGTAGCTGGAACTACAGGCGCGTGCTACTTTTTTGATTTGTTGTAGAGATGAAGTCTCGTCAAGTTGCCCAGGCGGGTCTCAAACCCGCAGGCTCAGGCAATCCACTCACCTCGGCCTCCCAAAGTGCTGGGATTACAGACTGAGCCACCGAGCCTGGCCTTTGCCTTTTTTATTTTTATTTTTTTGAGTTGGAGTCTCACTCCGTCACCCAGGCTGGAGTGCAGTGGCACACATGCTCACGGCCATCCCAGCGTCAACCACTGGGCTCAGGTGATTCTTCCACCTTAGCCTTCCAAGTAGCTGGAACTACAGGCACACGCCACCATGCCTGGCTAACTTGTTTTGGATTTATTGAAGAGATGAGGTCTCGCCAAGTTGCCGGTGCTGGTCTCAAACCCATGGGCTCAGGCAATCCCCTAACCTCAGCCTCCCAGAGTGCTGGGGTTACAGGCTTGAGCCACTGCGTCCAGCCCGGAACTTGCATTTTTTTTTCTTCTAAAGATGACTTTATCCAAGCCACTTACATGCAAAAATAATGATTAAAAACTGACGAAAGGATGAGGGACTGTATCCTGGCTAAGGGAGAAGGATTTGGACACCGACCGATGTAGGTTTGAACGGACCTCACCGTACAAGTCCATGACCTTGGCCGAGCTCCTGCCCGTTTCCTTATCTGTGAAGCTAGGATAAGCTTGGAACCAGCCCGGGAGGTCCAAGAGGAGTCAGTGAAACCAAACCCCTGGTGTGCCTTTGGCAATGCTCAGAGCTGGTGAGTAATGAAGTCAGAATCTGTGGAGGGAAAGGAATTTGAGAATTTTTTAAAACAAAATAAGCTCCAAATTGGACGAAATTGCTTTCAAATATGTGCAAATTTGTAAAAAGAAATCACCCGGGGTGCACAAATTTTATTAATCCACAAGCCAATGTGTGGAAATAGTTATGTTAACCAGACTGCTTTCAGGCAATTCATTCAGAGTCCAACATAATCTTGAAAATAAAAAAAATAAATAAAAAGCCAGGCATGGTGGCTCACCCTATAATCCCAGCACTTTGGGAGGCCAAGGTGAGAGGATTGCCTGAGTCCACGGGTTCGAAACCAGCCTGGGTAACTTGGCGAGACCTCATCTCTACAATTAATCAAAAAATTAGCCGGGTGTGGTGGCGCGTGCCTATAATTCCAGCTACTTGGAAGGCTGAGGCGGAAGGATCCCCTGAACCCAGCAGGTTGAGACTGTGGTGGTCATGAGCATGCCACTGCACTCCAGTCTGGGCGACAGAGTGAAACTCCAACTTAAAAAAAAAAAAAAAAGAAAAATACTGCCAAATATAAAGAAGGATGACTGCTACCTTAAAATTAATTCAAGCCGGGCTTGGTGGCTCAGCCTGTAATCCCGCGCCTTTGGGAGGCTGAGGTGAGTGGATTGCCTGAGCCCGTGGGTTCGAGACCCACCTGGGCAGCGAGATCTCATCTCTACAATAAATCAAAAAATCAGCCGGGTGTGGTAGCGCATGCCTGTAATTCCGGCTACTCGGACGGCTGAGGCGGAAGGATCGCCAGAGCCCAGGGGGTGGAGGCTGCGGTGGCCGGGAGCGGCCACTGCACTCCAGTTTAGGTGACAGAGTGAGACTCCAACTCAAAAAAGAAAAAAAAAAAAAAAGACGTTGTATCTACAAAAAAAAAAAAAATTTAATGTTTTAGGCCAGGTGCAGTGGCTCATGCCTGTAATCCCAGAACTTTGGCAGATCAAAGTGGGAGGATCAGTGGAAGTCAGGAGTTTAAGACCAGCCTGAGCAACACAGTAAAACATAAAAATAAAGAGTTTTTAAAGGAGTATAAAGATGTCAGACCATCCCTTTGTTCAAAAATATTATCCGTCCCAAAATAAAAGCTCTGATAAATGGGCAAAAATGTATGCATGCAAGCAGTAGATTGCAAAGTCACACTTGTGAGGTACAAAAATCATCAATGTATGAAAAACAACGATAGGAAATATAATTTTCACCCATTCATGTATGGGCCAGTTTGTTCAGAATCAGGGTTTTTAGTGCAGCAAGATGCACTAATCCAGCAGCTGACCAAGATCTTTCTCTGGGACATTCTGCCTCACCCACTCTCACCCTCTCTAGTTACTCTCTTCTCCACGAAGACTCTCTGGTCCTAAAGAAAATGCTCCCCAGTGCACCCTCATCTCCCCATTTAAACCATGTTGTTGAAAGAAGTCTTGCAGTGATCTTACGGCCCCCACCAGCCACCACCATGGTCCTGGCCCATGTCACCAAAAATCTTCTTCCTTGTTGCTGAATCTGCGTCATTAGCAAAGCTGAAAAGCAGTGCCAGCCTGGGAGAAACGTTGTGTAGTCCACCAAACAGTATCCAGACTATAGCGAATATCTGAGGAACTCCCTCAAATCAGTGAGATAAAATTTAACGGCCCTCACAAAATTTCAGTTAGGAGAAATACATGCAAGAAATCTATTGTACACCATGGTAACTGTAGTTGGAAATATATTGTACACTTGAAAATGGCTGAGAGTAGATTTGGAGTGTCCTCGGCACAAATAAGTGTGTGAGACAATGCCCTATGTCGAAGAGCTTGTTTAGTTATCCCACAGTGGACACATAGATCGAAACACCCTGCTGTACACCATAAATGCTGTTTTTACACATCAATGAACAAGGAAAGGAAAAAGAAATCAAATGACCCAGTGGAACACAAGGGCAAAGGCGATTCACAGACAAAGAAACCGGAGGAGGCAATAAACTTATGAAAAGAGGTTCAACTTCATTAGTCATTGGGGAGGAATGCACATTGAAACCACAGTGAGATACGATCTCACACTCATTTGCAAAAACAACAACGTCTACAGGACACGTGCTCTGATGAGTCTGGGGTTAACGGAGCCTCGGACGCTACCCAGCCCTGATCCAGCTGTCCCATGCTGGTTTCAGGCTCTGGGTGCCACCTGCGATAAAAAA